TGAAAATGGAAATATTGGGCAAAAGGTTAACTTGTACAGTCCATTCTTGATGGTGAGCATCTTTTCTTTTAAAGCCTAACAAGACAATTTCCATTCAAAGATTCTCAGAATACAACCATGAAGTTACAAACAAGAAGTTGGTAACAAAGTGGTTAATTAGTAATTGACAAGGAAACCTTAGCCTGGCAGCAGACAAAATGTTGAAGAAGCAGATATACCCCATTGATCACCGGGAGAGAAAACTCATGAATCCTTTGGCCTCTTCACACAACGTCAAAGACTGAGGCTTAGTTTGAAAGGAATATAAATACAAATATGTACAGCACAAATACATACAGAAATTTTTATACAAAATACAAAGTTTTGTGCTCTACATATTTGTATTTGTACTCCTTTCAAACTGAACCTGAATGTTGTGTTTCATTGCAGTGCGCACTACAAGAAATATGACCTTTAGATACGGACAAAACCATGGCTAAAGGTCAAAAAAAATGTAGCTATTGACCTATAGTTAGGTTTAGTTATGGATAGAAAACCATAGCCTATGTTTGCGTGGCTATAGCCTATAGCTGTGGTTCGACTAATCCGTGGTTATAACCTATTTATAGTTTTGGTATATATCTGTAGCTAAAGGGTGAATGCAAACCATTTGAACCTTTAGCCATGGGCTGAACCTTAGCTAAAAGATACATATAGCTACAGTTTTTAAATTGTCCATAGTTATACATCCAAATCTATTAGCACGAACTTTTATAAAACCATAACCATAATTTCTATTTATAGCTACGGTTTGCTACAAAACCGTAGCTAAATGTACTAACCTATAGCCACAGTTTTTTTTGCTAAATTTCCCAACTCGTTAAAATGATCATCCTTGTTTTATGGAAAAAATGGCAGGGTAAGGTGCATTCATTACTTTAAAACACAAGTAGGAAAAAAGTTACCCAAGACCAATTCATTAGTTCTTGGGTTAGACTAGTTTGGTATGGTTTTGGCTTTTTTTTTGAGTAAATAGGGCTAGGTGTATGGTCAAATTAATTAAGGGTTGGATCATGGTTTAACAATAATCTAACTAGCCAGTCTCGTCCAACTTTCTAAACATTTGTTAGTGCTACACAAATAAAAAAAAGTTAAAAATTACACTTTAAGCCAAACAAATTGGTAAAGTGGTTGAAATAATTTATTAAATAAATTAGTTACTATTTAATTAATAATTATTTATCTATATTGTATAACTATTACTTTATTAATAAATTATTTATGATTTTAAATAATTTAGTTTAATTGTCAATATTATTTTCATTCATATGTAATTAATTAATTTACTATTAGTGATTTTCATTTTTAGTTTATTATTTTCTATTAGTTATTAATTTACTTAAATAATTAAATTAATTTTTGATGATCAGCTTTAATCAATCAAATAATAATTAATACTTATTTATTTCTATTTTAGAAATTATTCTTTTTATTAATGCACTTATGAAATTATTAAGAATTTATTTTCTAGTTTAATTATTATTAAATAGAAATCATTAATTATTGTTGTTATGCAATAGCAATGAGCTAATAATTTGTTAATTATTAATTATATTCATTTACTTCAATAAGTTCTTAATTATTAATTTACTTTAAAAGTAATGAATATATAATAAATATTTTAAATGAATATTATACTATTATTATTTATGAGCTAGGAATAAAATGGTTGTAGCTAAAGATTATTAACTTCGTAATTATAGCCACGGAATTTTAGTTATCCGTGGCTATAGTGATAAATAGCTATTTAGCCACGAACAGAATAACTTTTAACCACACCCAAATTGTTCGTAGCTAAAGCTCAGTTTCTGTTTTTGTAACTTCTAACTACGGATACATTATAACCGTGGTTATAAATATCTTTTAGCTACGGACTGAATAACTTTTAATCACAGATATTGTCTGTAGGACGAATTGTCCGTAGCTAAAACTCAACTTCTGCTTTTTGTAACTTATAACCACGGATACATTATAACTATGGCTATAAATATCTTTTAGCTATGGAGAGAATACCTTTATCCATGGACAAATTGTCTATAGCTAAAGCTCAACTTCTGCTTTTGTAACTTATAACCACGGATTCATTATAACTGTGGCTATAAATATCTTTTAACCACGAACAAAGTAACTTTTAACCATAGACATTGTCCGTAGCTAAAGCTCAACTTTTTGCCATGGACATTAAATTGTCCGTAGTTATATCCTATGTTTTAGGTATGGTTTTTTTTACTGTAGCTATAGCCACATTTTCCTATAGTGGCAATTTTATTTGCCCTAGTACAAAGGTATAGGAGTGCAAATGAAAAAAATGCAAATTTTGGTTTAATTTTGTTTTTGGTTTTACTTTATTCTGCTTTAGATCTTATTTTACTTCATTTTGAATGCAACAAAATAAAGTAATAAGGTAAAACTTGAGACAAAAATAAATCAAAACTTGTTGCCAAGTCATTTGAACTATCATAGTTTTGCATCAGTGCAAATGAATTTGCACAGCAACCAAACACAACTGAAGTAAAAAAAGTCTCCAAGGCTCCAACAAAAAATGTTAGAGTGAAAAAGTCTCCCATAACAACAGAAATTGATCACCAATCCAAAGCAATTGAGGTTAAAAAGAGAATGATTTCCAAAGCCACCCCATCCTTGGTAATGCAATGATTAAATTTCATAAATGACCTGGGGTTAAGGTGAGGCCAAAGGTCATCCAAGGTGATGTTCAGTAGTGTGTAAATATCATGGACGGGACCATTTTGGTCTTGTCCACAATAAGATATGGTGCTCTATCATGCGTGAATAGCATGGACAGGGACAGGTTACACCCGAATTTATTGTCCATAATATTTTCTCATAGATGGTCCACACTATGGTGTGGAAAGTTTGTGGGGAAGGTTTCAGTGTAATGCACCTATGTTTCAGTGTAATGCACCTATGTTCCAATTACTCTCATTTTATTTAATCTTTTAATAATTTAAATTTTATAATATGTTACCTATAAAATAATTACTTTTAATGTTAATTCTAACACAAGTCTAATAGTTTTCCTTCTCAACTCTTTTATATTATTTAAATAATACTTTTTATTATTTTTAGAATAAAATAATATTTAAAATACTAATTTCTTATTTTTAAATATTTAAAAATAATATTTTTTTTCTATTTAAAAAATGCAATTGTTGTCTACATATTGACATCTTTTTTTAAATTTATTTACCATATAAAATGCAGAAGTTAGACATTTATGATCGACTGTATAGACCTCCCATAAAATGTATATGAGATACATGAAATCAAAAAGTGCATCCACACCACACCTATAGAATACTACCATGGGTGTGGACTGGTTTGATTCACACAATCTATCAATAGTTCAAAACAATTGTGGATTGTGATTTAGTGTGGGTTGGTCCCTGCCACAAGGTGTGGTATGGATCAATCCGCATTAGAGAGAAGCCCCCAAAATGCCTTTAATCTTGCTTTAAAACATCCATAAAAAAATGCCCCAATCATTAATTTCAACCTTCAATGTTGCCCCAATCCAAAGTTTCCATACCCAAACAAAAAGCATAACATTCATAACTATAGGGGTATAAGTACAAAATTCAGATCTCTCCTATCCACAAGAATCCTACCCACCTTTACCCACATGACACTATAGTTGTACATTAGAAACATCTTCCCCTATGTATAGCTGTAGTGTCATGTGGGAAGACACGGGTAGGATTCTTGTGGGTAGGAGATATGGAGTCCTAAGTACAAGGGTATAATTGTTGATTCTACAATTGATACATAATTACAGGGGTATAATTGAAGTTCAAGTTCAATTTTTTTTTTTAAATTATTGGGTAGCTGATGAAATATGAAAAGTTGCATTGATTCAATTTTTTTTTTTAAATATGAGTTTTGGAAACTAAAATGTGGCTTCTAAAGCCAAGAATTATGCCATATGAAATCGTAATGGTTTATAGCGTTAAATTATAGAAATATTTAGGGGGCATTCTTTTTTTTTTTTTTGATTTTGAGGGGGGGGGGAAGTTGGTTAATGGGATTTTGGTTCCCCTTAACCAAGAATCTCATGTTCTTTTTTTAAATTTATGTGGGGACCAAGGAAAGTTTATTTTCTTGGGTACCACTTACCTGGGTAAGTGATACCCATCTCCTAGGTGGCCAACACTTGAGTGGGACAAAAATGCCTTATTTACATGAGAAATAAAAGAATATGTGTAAATGCACTTACCCGGGTAAGTATTTCCTAGGAAAAACTTACCTAAGTAACTGCATTTACTTGGGTAAGTAATTTACCGAAAAGCAAACAAGGCCTTAGAAGAAACAAAAAAGAAAAGCAAAGAGAGGAGAGAAAAAAAGAGTCTAAGAACAAAGGTATCTAAGAAGGAAATGTGTGTTGTCTCTTCTTTGGCTAAGTTGTTTAGAACTCTATAAAGGCCCATATAAGCCATAATCTTTTCAACATTCATCTCTTGTATTTGTTTATTCTAAAATATTATTAATGGATATGTTAAATTCCTATGATGCCTTTTCATAGACATTAAGATCTAGTATTTGAATTTTGCACCTAAGTTTTATTCAATACTTTAGATATAATATTGTTTTATTGTACTCAAAATTTTGTTCTTAGGCAATGCCTTTAACATGCCAATAGTGACAAGTTTCATGTCTTGTCAAAATAGCTCAGCTTAAGGGGGCATCTAAAAATAACTTTAATGACTTAGTAAAATCAAGACAAACCATGCACATGTAACACTCCTATATGGTCTATATGTTGTTATTTGTTCCAAATCTTTACAAACAATTATCTATATCTTATGCTATCTGTCTACTATACATATCTATACCTTATATTGTACACTATGTATAAATGAAAACAAAAGTAGTCTTGAAATATTAATTAGAAGATAAGGTTTCTCATCATTATTGTTCATGATATTTAAACAATCTTATTATTATAGAGTGATACTGCATTTGAGAAGCAGACTGCCCTTTTCGCTCTTGCAATTTCAGATGTCATGATCGTTAACATGTAAGTTATTTGTTTAGAATTGACGAATCATCTATAACTATCTTGTTGATAAAACAAGTGATTTTGTAAAATTTCTAATGATACTAAAATCATGTCATTATATTTTAGGTGGTGTCATGATATTGGGCGTATACATGGTGCAAATACGCATCTTCTAACAATTGTATTCCAGGTTTTCTTTTTACTTTTCTTTTTCTTTGGTCTCTATATAATCCCGTTCTCCAAGTGACTACTTTAAATATTTTGATATTGAATTTTTATATTCTTTATGATGGTGTATGGAAATAGGTCATGATGCAGTTGTTTAGTAGAGACATGCATAAAAAAACTATATTTTTTATTTTGCGTGATAAGACCAAGGTATGTTCCACAATTCCTAATATTTTCTTTGAGATTCAAATAGTCATGGATATCTAACCCTTTCCTATTTTTTTTTTCACAGACACCACTGAATATACTAAAAGAACAAGTGAACGATCATGTGAAAGAGGTAGTTCTATTTGTATTTATTAGTATTTATTGTGAGTGAGACCTGCCACCCATTGTCTTTGGCATTTCTGTAAATATGTTTTATCAATACAATTTACTCTAGCTAATCCAAGTTTTAACATATTGTTTAAAGTTTAATTTGTTAATGTGTTGCCTTTGATATGGAAATTTTGTTTTCTATAAATGGACAATTGTCTGGTACTTATCTTCTTTCCTTTTCCAAGTTCCAATCTAATAGCCACTAGGGCATTTTAGATGAAAAAAGTGGTAAGAGGGACAAACTAAACCTCTAAATATAAAAGGGTAAAAGAGTTAAACCTCCCTTTATATCTCCCCTATTAGAGTTATATCTAACTGAACTATTCAAGTCTTTTTTGCCATTTCTGATTCTTCAAATTTTCAAAACAAATTTGTCTTACCAAAAATCATGGTGAGGATTTGTCTTAATTTTCCTTGTAACCAAATGATGTAGCATCTCCTAAATGCTATGAACGCACAATTTATGTTGCTAGAAGGAGAAATCAATTAAACTTGAGAATAAAAAAATGTGTATATTTGCCTACAAATCAAACTACAGTGGTTATGGTGAAATCCATGCCTACATTATTTGTCTCAGCTCTTTTAGTTGTAGGCAAGATTTGTAATGTCCTTAACTTGCTTCATTATCAAATTTCCATGATTTATTATGATCCTTTCTTTTTTCCCTACTACGGATGCCTATCCATGATTTCATTATCTGGAGAAATATGAAAACAAACATACACCAGGAAAACAAAGAAATGGAGATACATAGACAAGACAATCCAATAAAAGCCCGTTACAATGAAAGAAGTGTTTACATTGATTTTGAAGAAAAAAGAAAATTGGAAATGTCAAAAAGAAAAATTCCCTTGATAAATTATTTTCTTACTCTAATTAACATAGAAAGTTGTTTAAGATTTAAACTTTTTGCAACTCCTCTATTTTGAACAAAGTTCAATGAACCAATCCCCCCCCCCCTTTCTTTTTGTTCTCCATCTTCCTTTGATCCTTTTTATCTCTCTCTTATTTCTCTCTTTCCCTCTCTCCCTTGGTCTCTATTATCACTGCTGAACATGGAACTTGATTGACTAAGGACTTGGTTCCTTCATTTTCCTTCTTGCCTTTCTACTTTACCATTGCTAAAGCAGGATACATGTACTTTATCTAAAACCTGTGACTTTAACCAGAATTGACATTTTGAAATCATTCCTAGGTTATAACCAGAAATTTCTCAATATTCACTTCTCTTTCCTGCACTAGTAAATCAAATTTGGTTGAATTTTCATGCAAAAAGAAAAAAAATTATATTACACTACATGATTTCACATGAAAAAAGGGAAAATTGGATTTCTAAAAAATTTACTGAAACATAAGGTCACATGTAAATAGATAGCTAGAGTAGGAGAGGTCTTTGTCTCATGAATTGCCCAAAAGGGGAGGCCTAACTCTATTTTTGAAAAGACATGGGAGTTTTTATTATTTAGGTGAAAGATCAAGGGAAGTTTAAGTCTTTTACGCAATATAAAATCTATAGGTCAATCTCATAAATTGTCAAGATAAGACTATTATTACATTGATTTTCTAACATGATATTTTCTAACAATTATTACATTGATTAATTACATAATTACTTTGTTTGTAGATTTGGAATTCTACTCAAAAACCAAGATCCCTTGAAGGAATACCATTGAATAAATATTTTAATGTACGATATCTCAAACTTACTCAATTTATATATAGTTGGTCTTTCTTATTCACTACATAGAGATATGCTTATGGGTTTTAATATGAAACTTTATTTTTTTTTATGGGAGTAGGTTGAAGTTGATGCCCTATCTAGTTATGAACGTGAAGAACAGGAATTTAAAAATGAGGTATATTAGATATTGCATTAGAAAAGTTACAAGTAGGAATGGGATTTTTCTCCCTGCTCAAAAGAAACTATAATTTATTCGTATGTAACCCCTTGGAGATAGACTTTGGTTACACGCATTCCATTAACGTTCCATCCATTGGCAATATTGAAGGTTTCTAGTTTAAAGAATAAAATCCTCCAATCTATATCTTTTGATGGCCATTATCGGTATCAACACTGGATTGATGCTGCTACGTTTTCAATAAGTGTGAAGCAAATGTGGAATACTATTAAGGAAAACAAGGAGCTTGACATTCCTGCACACAAGGTGATATTGGTGCATAATGTTCTAGTGGAACTAGCCAATAAGAGATGTAGATTGTGCTTTAACATTTATATTATTTGATCTTTTAATTGTAGATTATGGTTGGCACTTTACGTTGTGAACAGATTGTAAATGGAAAGTTTGAGTCTTTAAAGAATCAGGTATATATGCATGTTCATTATTTAAAACCTTGTTTTTGTTTTACAGATTATTACATAGTTTGACAACATAGCATGCCAATTAATATTCTTGAAATTATTGTAGGATTGGGTTGAATTGCATAAGAATATAAAAAGTCTAGATCCAAGCTTATTCCGGGAGAAGCTCATTACAATCCTTAATAGATGCCTATCGCAGTAAGTAATTTTTCAAGGTTATACTATGGAAATCAAATAATTATCCTATTATTCATAATGATGTAATTCTTTATTAGAAACTTATAATTTTAAGCATTGTTCTCATTACCTATAGCATTCACAAATATTTGTTTGCAAATTTATGGTATAATTATGTTTTGTAGTACTCGTGAAATAACTATAAGCTATGAATATTGCAAATTGAGACTATAAATAAATGTTGTATACCATTTATTCAATATTTATAGTTGAAGTATTCAGTTTTTCATGGTGCACATATTAAATGTTCAAGATTTATAGTATTTATGTGTTTTTCTTGATAATTGAAATTTAGTTCATTAATCAAAAGAATAGATTAGGTACAAAATCCCTGAGAAAGGTGCAAGGTGCAGCCTTTCTCAAAACAGAAAGGCTGCATTTAGTGCTTTTGCATGTGATATAGGTATTACAAACCACATTTCTTTAAAGTATAATTGCTTATATTTGTCTTATAAACACATATATGGAGTTTTTCCTTTTTTATGGAGATTTGAGACAACATGAAGGAGACTTATTCCCAACCCCTCAATGTTGTTAAAGCTCTTAAGCTAAAATGCGAGGTGAAAAACCTTAAGCAAGGAAAGAGACCAGTCTTAGTATATTTTGCTACTCTAAAATCCCTTTGGCATGAAATTGATCACTTAGAAACTATTGAATGGGAAAGCTAAAAGGATGCAGCAACATACAAAAAACTAATTGAAACAAATTGGGTTTTCGAGTTCTTAGCTAACCTAAACTTAGATTTTGATATTACAAGAAAGGAACTTCTCATTAGGGAGAGTGTGACCCTACCTTAGGCCTACTCATTAGTCCATAGTGAAGAAAGTAGGAAGTAGGTAATGCTATCCTTCCAGCCTATAGAAGCAAACTTGACAGCAATAAAATTCAAGGATGTAGGAGAAAAGGAAAAGGAAGTTAAGGAAGGCAAAAGAGATATTTTTAATAATCATTGCAAGAAGCCCAAACACACTAGGGACAGTTGTTGAAGTTGCGTCCTCAACTAATGCTAGCTAGACTTAAAAATAAGAAGGGAAGTGCCAATACGACAACTACAACTGACAATACATCCTCTTCCAGCATAAGAACCACATCCTTGGATGCCTTGGAAGCTGCTCAAGCTACACTAACACAGTAAGAAAAGGAAGTTGATATTTCTAGATCTACATCTTAGTCTTTAACTACTACCACTAGCTCAACCTACTTCAGCCCTTGCTCATACAGGTACAAGAATTGCATGTCATGCTTCTGTCCTAGATAATACTAGACCTTTCTGAGTAATAGATTTAGGTGCTTCAGACCATATGGCTAGCTTATTTACTTTATTGTTCCCTATGTTAGTGCTAAGTTACTTTCAATTAGTAGTATTACTAAAAATAAAAAATACTAAGTAACCTTTTTCCCTAATCAGTGTGTGATGTAGCTAGAAGCGTGTTGCTAACCACATTGAAACACCAGTTTAATAATTTATAAAATTTTCCACATAACCTTAAACAACGTTGTACATGGTGAGAAAGGAGTCGAACTCACAGGGAAGCTAGAATAAAAAATATTTTTTTATTCTAGATAAATAAAAGGAAAATGGATCTAGGAGTTGCAAAAAATAAGAAAATAAAATTTATTAATGCTGAAATTAAAGGTTTGGAATTAGAAAAGACAATAATTAATGTTTAGAAATTAAAGAACACTAAAATCAACAAAAGAAACAAATAAAAGTGATACAAAATTCGGATCCAGTGGTGGTAGCTATCTACAAAGGTGAAATACAAACTTTCTCCTTCCGTTCAGCCTTCGAACCCCTCGAGACACCTTAACCTTGAACTAGACGAATTCAAATCTACAAAACACACAAATGAGTAGAAATTAAATCTAAAAGATTGCTAGAATAAAAATAACATAAAAGAAAATAAAAAAAATGAGAAGGATGGTTGATCAAATCCAGTGGTAGTAATTGTAGATTGGTTGGACTGCTTGTAGGAAACCCTCCTAACAAGATCTTGGCATCCTTCCCTTCTATAACCCTTGAACTCCTCAAGAAACCTTAGCCTTGTGAATTGGGTTAATTAACCAACCCCTTCTCCAGGGCCCCTGGGGTCCTTTTTATAGAAAAGGGTGGTCATAATTAGGATTAGAGAGAAAGAGGGGGCCGACAGTTAGGCTTTTGTAGAAATATGGGCGCCCTAGGATTGAGAATGGAGGGTTAGGATTGGTCTAAGGTGATCCTAAGGCTGAGAAGTGAAGGAGGGGCTCCCAATATTATGTAGGGCTAAGATTTAGGCACCCAGAATCGGATGGCAAAGATTAAAAGGAGTGAATGGTACCCTAGGGTGAATGGCTGAGATAGAGAGTGAAATAGAGGGTTGAGATCTAGTGGCTATAGGATGAATGGTGAGGATTAGTAGTTAAGTAGCACCCTAGGGTTAGAATACACTCCATAAAGGGTGCCCTAGAATGGAGAGTGGAGCTTAGGTGTTAGGAAGGGGTGAAAGGTAAGGATTTTGCAGTTAGGGGAGGCTAGGGTTTGTTAAAGATGAAAAGAATGAGTGGAGAGGTGCCCTAGGGTTTGTTAGGGAGAGAGGAGTATGCTAATAAAGTAGGAGGGGCACCATTGTGGGTTTAGCAGATAGGAGGCGCCCTCCTGTGCTCAGTTTTTCACAAAAGCACCCCCTTTGTTGGATTTCACACTAGATTTGCAAAAACTGCATTTCAGCCTTGAAACATTTCCAGCTTTCCCCAAGATTTGCATAGAGACCTCATAGGTCACAATATTGAATGTAACTAAGAAAATGAGACATTTTGACTATTCTAAGGCCTAAAATAAACCTGAAATAATGCCCTTAAGGCATCAAAATACAGAGTTATCACACCCCCAACTTAACCATTGCTAGCTCCTTAGCAATGTAGCCTTAAAGTTACACTAAATAAAGAGATCATTCCCATTGCAAGATCATCCCTGTCAAAATTAGCCAAGTATCCCAATTTCAAAATTCTCAAACTTTGTATAGATTGATATTGGGCTTAAGGGGTAAAACTATCTTGCTTTGAACATTACAGAAACTTGGCCTAAAAAATCCTATATACCCTTTCATTTGTAGACTGTCTCAATAAGCTAATATTAATTTTTAAAATCAGTAGGTAATTTTCTTATCATTTCTAATAGTGGATTTCTACCCCTGAACTTGATATACATACATAATTTTATTGCTACCTTTTACTGTTTGATGTGAATCTCGACACTATCCTTGGGTGAAGAGACCCAATTACTAAGTGTAAGGTGATTGTCTTTGGCATTCTCTTTCCCATTCGACATGAATCTCAACACTTAACATAAGTGAAGAGACCTGGTTACTAAGTCTAGGGTGTCCATTGACTTTTTATTCTCTCTCGCTTTTTTTTTTTAGCACTGTTTAGGGTAGTTCATTGTCTTTAACAATTTAAAGAATTTTTTGTCTAATTTCTCAATCTTTCTCTTATTATCTTTACAAGGGAAAACTTGAGAGTATTTTCCAAATTCTAAACAGTTTTGACAATGTTCAAATAAGACCAAATTTGACTCCTATTACTTGTTTGCAATTTCTACAAAATTCAATATTTTTCTATCATTTTCCTTGAATTTTTCTGTGTGGGAATCTCTTTTAATGGAAAGAATTTTTAAATTTTTTAGTGAAATTTTTATTTTTACATTTCTAAAGGCTTAGCTTCATTTTTTTTTTCAATTTTTCTCTCTCTTTCCTCACCCCCCAACTTAAGTGCCATCGTTCCTAATGGCATGACTAGAATGTTGCAAAGGACTTGGGCCAAAGGGAACAATCAAGAGGGTTTTCCCAATGGATTCAAGGTCTGCCAATGGGTCTCGAATCATGAGAAGAAACAAAAAACTCTAATCTTACATACAACTGGAAACTACATTGAGTTGCCTCCCAACTAGCACTAAGTTTAACTTCTTCAAGCAGACACATTCACACACTTCTTTCATTTACTCTCCTGAACTTGCTTTCTTCTTCACACTTACGGGGCTCAGATTGGGTAACCAAGGGGTAGACAGGGCATCTAGAAGATTGTCCACTATATCTACATTGAACTCATATTCTCCTAGGTTTAGATACTTAATGGCACAAAATACATTTAACTAGACTTTCTACTCCCCAAATGACATGTCCATTTCTCCCAATTTACAGTTGATGTTCGCGTTGGCCACTGCTAGAAATAGACGACCTAAGATTATTAGGTTATGGTTCAATTCCTCAGTTAGGGTTATGTCTAGGATGACAAAATCCATTGGGAAGTAACAATCCTCTATCCTGACAACAACGTCCTTAATAACACCTTGAGGAGTCTTGAATGATCGATCAGTGAGTTGCAAAATTACTATGGTAGGTTTTAACTCGTCGATCCTGAACTTGTCGTAAATAATAGAGGAAAGCAAATTTACACTAAATCCAAGATCCAATAGCGCCCGATCAAAGGTAATTCCAGAGATGACCCAGCTTATGGAGGAGCACCAAGGTCTTTCATTTTCCAAGGAAGTTGGTTTAGGAGAACCACACTAACATCTACCGAGAGCATCAATTTTTGTGGGGGCCAATTGTGGCTCCCTCTTTTGAGTGCATATCCCTTTCAAGAACATGGTGTAGGCCGAGACATGTTGGATCACACCGAAGAGAGGGATGTTAATATGGACTTGCTTGAATAACTCCCCAATCTCCTCGTTCCGAGTTTCTTTCGTCTTTCGTAATGGCCTGGCTGTGAGTGCGATTAGAAAGGGAACTATAAGTTGGTTCACTATAATCTCTTGTTCTAAATTTTCCTTTCCTTCCCCGCTCCCAACTTATGGTCTTCTTGCTCATTTTCAACTTCAGTACACCAATTTAATAATTTATACATTTTTTTAATACTTACGTAACCGTAAACAACATAGTACATGGTGAGGAAGGGGTTAAACCCACAGGGATGCAAGAATAAAG